TGGGATTTTACCCCAACACTCAGATCTGCTGAAAACGCAAGAGTAGACCATTTTTTTCTGTTGGTGGTTATAAATAACATACAATGTTGTGTGGCTGCAGTAGTGGTTGAGTGATTTTGAAATTTTGAAATTTTAACAATTAAATCTGGAGGGATTTCTGCCCAAACCTGCAGGATTCTGGGATTTTTCCCTGAGTCTCTTGAATCATGGTCGTTAATCAGCTTGATCAGGAGGCAGAAAGGACGTTCATGGGAGGTGACTCGGGGTCTCATTGGAACGGGGAAGAAAGGGCCAGCTCCACCACCATCCCATGAGGCCCCACGTGTCTCGTCACTGCAGGCCCAAACCTGACTGTCCAATGGCCTCTGGCGAATAGTGGCCACCAAGCCGCCAAGGAGGAGCAGGTGGAGGGACAGCACCCTTTCCCCCCTGGGGTGGCCCAGGACAGTAACCTACTGCATGGTCCAGATGTATTTCTGCCAAAAGCCACTGGGTTTCAAGACTTTTTCCTGAGACTCTGGGATCATGGCCATTAAGCAGCTTGATTAGGAGCCAGAGAGATCATTCGTGGGAAGTGACTCGGGGTCTCGTGATGGGGAGGAAAGGGCCAGGTCCACACCCATCCCATAAGGCCACCTTTCTCATCATTGAGGGTCCAAACTTGACTGTCCAGTGGACTCTGGAGGATGGCGGTCAATGGGCTGCCTGGGGAACAGGCCAAGGCATGAAACCTATTCCCACCTGGGGTTGCCCAGCGCCAGTAACCTACTGCAGTGACTGGACACATTCGAAAACTCTTGAGCTTATTCACCAACATGGCATGGTGCAAGCCTCAGGCAACTACAAGCGAATGTCCGAGCTCACAAAGCAGTGCAGAGAAGTGATAAAGGAAGACCTAAAAGATAGAATAGCAGCAGTGCTGGCAAATGCTGCAGAAAACTGTAAAAACATTCACCACACCCGCCTGACCTTCGCCAACTACAAGACAAAGATGAATGCCCTCTGATGGATCTATCACATCTTCCAGAAGGGCAATGGAGAAGATTATCCATGAGTTCTACTCGAATATCTTCAATAGCCAAGTCCACCTGCCCACATAGCAAATTCTGCATGATGGATGTGTCGTTCTCAACGTTCTCCCTTCTGAAACCTGACACACCATTTCGCCAGTAAAGAAGCGAACAGCACCTGGCCCAGACAAGGTCAGACCAAATACCTGAAGGATCTGCCATCAGTACTCATCAATACACTGGCTCTGCTCTTCAGAAGCTACCTGTCTGAATGGAAGGTTCCATCCCATTGGAAAACCAGCAGGACTGAACTACTGTACAAGTAGGGAGACATCCATGACATTGACAACTATCACCCTACATGCCTATAGTCTGTCATCTACAAGCTGTTCACCCGAATCATCCTGAGTGTATTGGCAGAACACTTGATGAAGGAAAACCATGCAAAAAATCCAGGTTCCACAAAGGATTCAGCACCATCGAACATATCCACACAGTAACCAAGTTCATTGAGGTTTCTCAGGAGTTCATGATGCCGCTCTGTCTAATGTTCATTGATTTAAAGAAGGCCTTTGATTCTGTTGAGACGGAAGCGGTCACCAAAGCCCTAGCCAATCAGGGCATTCAAACTCAATACATCAGGATCCTCCATGAGCTGTATTGCGGATTCACTACCAGGATCTCACCATTCTACAAAGAAGTAATCATCCATGTCAAGAGAGGGGTTTAGCAGGTTGATATCATTTCACCGAAACTCTTCAGTGCCACCCTCGAGAACATCATGTGATTATTGGAATGGGAAGGAATGGGAGTGAAGATAGACAGTTGGCAACTACACCACCTCCACTTTGCTGATGACATCTTTCTAATAACACCAAACATTAGCTAAGCAGCACAAATGCTGTCCGACTTCGACCGTGAGTGTAGATAGGTCGAACTACAGCTGAATCTCACGAAAACAATGTTTATGAGAAACGGTCTCATTCCTGATGTTCCATTCACTCTCAACGGGACAAACATCTCCAAATGCAACAGTTACGTGTACCTAGGTCGAGAAATCAACATGACAAATGACCTGGCACCTGAGTTGCGCAGGAGGAAGAGAGAAGCTTGGAATGCCTTCAAGAGCGTTGAAGAAATCGCTAAGAGGACGAAGAACTTCCAGCTCCGGGCACATCTCTTCAATTCCACTGTTCTTCCTGCATTAACATACACCTCAGAGACCTGGATGAGAACAGGATGAGAACGCTATTCGAGTCTCCCAAAAAGGAATAAAAAGAGCTGCTCATGGAGTATCACGCTTCACTCAAATGAGAGGAAGAATCTGGAGTTCTGACCTCCATCGATGGTCAAGATCAGGAACGCTGTCTGGTTTGCCAAGGCGTCGAAAATCAAATGGGCTATACACGTAATGAGATTTGGAGATGACCGCTGGACTACAGCCATTAGTGAATGGATTCCACGGGACATCGAAAGATAGCGTGGCTGCCCACCTATGAGATGGTCAGACTTCTTCGTCAAGACCCTGAATGATTGGTTTGAAGCTCTTCATTTTCCTAGAACGAACAGACGGCCTTGGGCTACACTAGCACATGACAGGAAAAAATGGAGATGTTATTGACACCCACTCGAGCAAATCTATGAGTAATCTATGAGTGATCAAGTGATCAAGTTGAGATCTTTAATCCATTTTGATCTGACTTTTGTGCATGGTGTTAGGTGGAGGCCTAAGCCCTTTTTTTCATGTGGTTTTCCAGTTATGCCAGCACCATTTGTTGAAGAGGCTTTCCTTGTTCCACTTCACATTTCTTGCTGCCTTATCAAAGATTAGATGTTCATATATTTAGGTTTTGTGTACGAATATTCCACACTGTTCCATCAGTCTGTGGCCCTGCCTTTGTTCCAGTACCATGCTGTTTTAGTTATTATGGCTTTGTAGTAGAGTTTGAAGTTGGGGGGGGGGTAATGCTTACCCATGTCTTTTTCCCAAGAATTGCTTTAGCTATTCGTGGGCGTTTATTGTTCACATGAATTTCAGGAGTGCTTGATCTATTTCTTTGAAGAACTTCATAGGTATCCTTATAGGGATCGCATTGAATCTTTATAATGCTTTGGGGAGTATTGCCATTTTGACCATGTTAATTCTTCCATTCCATGAACTGGGGATATGTTTCCATTTCCTCGTGTCCTCTTTTATTTCATGAAGTCGCATTCTGTAGTTTTCATTGTAGGGATCCTTTACCTCTTTAGTTAGGCTGATTCCGAGGTATTTGCTTTTCTGGGGCACGATTGTAAACAGGATTGTTTTTTTCATATCACTTTCCTCCGTCTCATTATTTGCATATAGGAAGGCCATGGAGTTTTGGGCATTATTTTATAGCCTGCGACCTTGGTAGAGGATTTAGGATATTTGGACAATCTAGGTTTTGTTGATTTTTCTTTTTTTAAAAAAAAAACATGATGTACTCTTGGTTTAATTAAAAGTTTAGATTGTTTTTAATTAAAATTGATTATTTTCTTTTTAAAACTAATATTCAATGGAATCACTGTTAAGTACAAAGTGATAAAGATATTTATGATTGAATTTCAGGTGTACATTATTTCAACACCACTCCCTTCAGCCTTTTCCACTACTTCCAATGGTGTCCCCAGTTTCCCTCTCACCCCAGCCCCCCAGTCTTTCTCTGTGGCAGACACTTTCCTCTCCACCATTGTCCTTGTGTTCCCTTTCTAACTGATACCCCACCACATCCCAGTGGCAAGCTTCCTATGAAGTCCAGTTCTCCAGCTCTTTATGTCTACTGACCTTGGGTATTATTATTTAGGCCATTTAAATAAGCCCCTTCTTTCTTCCTGATGAATGCTTGCATCAGCATCAACATTCCTCTTAACACTGCTTTTGCTGTGGACCAAAGTCTGATGGCTCATGTCTTCTTTCTTCTTTTTACCAGGAATCATTTTATTTCCTCTTTGACACACTGGTTACTAAGTAGTGAGCTGTACTTATTTATTCTTTCACTATGCATTAATCTCATTCATGTATTTATTAACACACTCATTCACTTCCTGTTTTATTCACTCATTTATTCTTTTTTTTTTTTGGCTTTTTGGATCACAACTGGCGATAAACAGGGGTTACTCCTGGCTCTGCACTCAGGAATTACCACTGGTGGTGCTCAAGGGACCATATGGGATGCTGGGAATCGAACCTGGGTAGGCCATGTGTAAGGCAAACGCCCTACCCGCTGTGCTATTTTTGCTCCAGCCCCTCACTCATTTATTCTTTCATTCACTCTCTATTTACTCACTCGATCAGCCTGGGCTGCAGGTAACTTATTCAGTTATTTACTTTACTTTTTCATTCACTCATTCATTATTGATTCATTCACTTTCTTTTATTCTCACTCAGTCATTTTTCATTCACTCACCCAGCTGAGGTTTTGGTAACTGAGCACTACTCTGACCCAGGCATGAATTAAAACAGAAGGGGATCCTTCTGCTGAAACCTGGTCCTCTGCCACTCTCTGTCCTGGAGAAAGTGACTCCCTCCACACATCAGTGGTTTGGTGTCTTGAGGATGAGGACTGGATGGCCCTTTGGAGGCAATGGAGGGAATGGGGACCCTGGACCTGGAAAGGGGTATTGTGATTTGAGAAGAGTGGGGATCTGGAAGTGGGAACTCAGGTTGGGCCAATGGGGGCTTTTCAGGGAAGAGCAGCTTGACAGAAGGTTAGCGGGCAGCAGTCACATGCAGGCCAAGGAGATTGGAAGGTCAGTGGAGGGGCATGTGTGAGCTTGGGTTCCAGGTCTACAGGGCCTATAGGGCCACTCAAGCCACAACATCAGTGTCTCTTCCTCCTCTGAGAGTAAATGATCAAATTCAGGAAACAAGTCTTTCACTCCAGCTGAATCAGGGAGTCAGAAGGACCTGGGAGAGCAGCTGGGCAGTGAGCTGAGGCTGTGCCACTCATGGTTGCCTTCTGTTCCCAGAAATATAGGCCTGAGGCTGCCGAAGTTCTCCATCTCCGGGAACTACAACCTGAAGCAAGTCCTGTCTCAGTTGGGCATAAGCAACATCTTCTCCCCAGAGGCAGATTTCTCAGGCGTCACAGAGGATGAGAAACTGAGTGTCTCCCAGGTGAGTTGGAGCTGTGGGTCCATTGTTTTGTGGGGTACACGCTCTGAGGATCCTGATGCCCAGAGGAGGGGCGCCAGTGTCTGTTGTAACTCTCTCTCCCCCTCAGGTCCCCCTGTCGCCCCAAGCCCCCTGGGAGAGTGGTCCTCAGTTGGAAGTCCCAGTCACGCTCTAAAAAGTGCCCTAAGTCAGAACGCATCCTTTCCTGCCATGGGGTCACCCCAACCCTCCAGCCTCTGCTCAACCACAATAAAGTGAGGACTCAGTACTGAGCTGAGCACAGCAGGTGCTGCAGGGAACAGCTCAAGGGGAAAAGAAAGCCCTTAGGCTGTGCTGAGATGGCACTTGGCAGAGGGGGCACCTAAACGTGCCTTGACTTGCTGAAGCAGAGAAATTAATTTTGATGAGGGCACCTGGGCAGCTTAAGCTGCTCAGGGCCTCCGAGGGGCTCAGAGCTGAGGTTCAGGGCCAGGGAGGGGACATGATGCTTGGAATAGACCAGTGGTGAATAGGCAGAGATAGAGGTCACAGCCCAGCCAAAAGCAGGGCCAGGAAGGAGTCATGGCTAGTAGGCCATGCAGGGCTATCCACTGCTCTTCACTTGGTGTTGGGTGCGGCAGCTGTTTCCAACTGAAAAGGTTCCATGTAGAAGCTAAGCAAAAGAGTTGCCAGTGCTTCTTCCAGCTCCCATAGTGCATGCCAAGGACTGCTGGACACTGCCCTAGGAAGAGTAGGACAAGCAAAACCATGCCCACCTTCCCATCTTTTTCATGTGAATTCACTCCTGCCGCTCAAGATGTTTGTCTATTTGTGGTCTGGGCTGTGCTGGCCGACTCCCGAGTTCTGGAGGGCCATGACAGGGGACTGCCTAGGGAAGGACAGCTGCCCCTCGAGGGGCTCTAGCAGACTGGCTACCTCCTGTTCATCCTGTCCTGGTGGTGACGGCTTTACCCTCTATGTCCCCCAGGCGGTCCACAAGGCCACGATGGATGTGGCTGAAGAAGGCACCGAGGCCGCGGCTGCTACGGGGATGAATCTAGTCATTCGGCGACGACCGATAATCCTTACTGTGAGCTTCGACAGGCCCTTCCTGGTGGTCCTTCTGTCTCAGGACACACAGGGCATCCTCTTCCTGGCCAAAGTCGTGAACCCTCAGCAGGACTGAGATTCCCTGGGTTGGGGTCTGGCCCGAGGAGTCAGCTCAGCCTACATGGGCCTGTTCCCTCCTGGGTCACCTCCCTGGGGCTGTGCCCAGTATGGGGGCTATGGTGAGAGCAATAAACATCTTTCTCACAGCAATGGCTGGCCCTGAGTGTCCCTACAGCTGCCTGCCCCCGGTCCCGGCCAAGCCCCTCAGCCCTGGACCCTGTTCTGCCCCTCAGCTCTGGACAGCAGCACCTCCTGAGGTTCCTTCATCCAGGCTCTGTCTACTGGCCCAGATTCCCAGGAAGGTCAACCTGCCACCCATCATCTCCGACCACCCTAAGCTCTTGGGCCCCAGTTCCATGCCGCCAAGGAACCTGGATTGACTGACTGGACCTCATGGGGATTTTGATTCAGACCCCATGTGCAAACAAGTCTCCCTGAGCTGTGTGGCGACCCCTGCTAGGACCCCTTATTCCAGACTCCACCCCCCAATCTGTGGATACTCATTCCCACAAGGTTCCAGCTGGAGCCCCTCAGTTACTCCAGATTCCATGGTTCCTGAACAGACACTCCTGATCCGGCACCAGACGGGAGGGCACGGGGGGTCTGGGGAGAGCAGGAGAGCTGCCCTGAGGCTCATTCCAACCTGACACCAGGACTGGTGTCGCCAAGCCATGAGGTGTGTTGATGGGCTGAAGCCCAATAAACATCTCCTGCAGGCAATCCACTGAGGTCTCAGTGTTCAGTGACCCATTGGATCTTGCCATCTCCATGTGACTTTGATGCAGTTATTATTCCTGGGAATGGATGACAGAGAGGTTCAGTCATTCCCAACAAGACCACTGAATTGGCAATTCAGAGAGCAGTTGCCACGACTGGAAGAAGGGAACTCCCACCAGACCACCAAGTATTTCCATCACTATTTTCACTTTCATGGAAAAGCTTGAGAAGAAATAGCAATAGGTCTTCTTTAAACGTTTGAAAGAATTCTCTAGTAAATCCATCTGTGCCTGGGCTTTTGTTTTGGGAAAGATTTTTCATTACAGTTTTGATTTCTTTGATATTAATGGGTCTATTCAGGTATTCCAAGTCTTCTTGGCTCAGTCTTGGGAGATTATAGAAATCCAGGAATTTATCCATTTCTTCTAGGTTCTCTTGTTTTGTGGCATACAGACTCTCTAAGTAGTCTCTGCTGATCTTTTGAATTTCATTGGTTTCTGTTGTGATGTCCCCTTTTTTCATTTCTGATTCAGTTTATTAGGGTTTTCTATCATTCCTTGTGAGTCTTGCTAGTGGTTTTCTCAAAGAATCAGCTCTTGGTTTCATTGACCTTTCATATTTTTTTAAAATTTTTATTAGTGAAACACCATGAGGTACAGTTGTAGACTTACAAGTTTTTGTGCTTGGGTTTCAGTTATACAATGACCAAGTACCCATCCCTCCACCAGTGCCCATTCTCCACCACCAATGATCCCAGTATCCCTCCCACCCACTCCCATCCCCCCCCATCCCATCCTGCCTCTGTGGCAGGGAATTCTCTTTTGTTCTCTCTCTCTCTCCTTTTGGGTGCTGAGGTTTGCAAAAAAGGCATTGAGTGGCAATCATGTTTGGTCTATAGTCCACTTTCAGCATGCATCTCCCATTCTGGGAGGATCCTCACAACACACTTTACTTGGTGCTCCTTTCTCTATCTGAGCTACCTTTTCCCCTAGCATGTGCAGCTGGATCCCAGAGAGGTAAAATGCACAGTCGAAATGACATCTGCACTTCTATATTCATTGCTGCACTGTTCCCAATAGCCAAAATTTGGGGAAAAACGGAGTGCCCAAGAAAAGATGACTAGTCAGATTGTTTTTTGGGTTTCCATGTCGTTACTTTCTGCTCTAAGCTTTATTATTTCTTTCCTTTGGCCGGGTTTCAGCTCTTTTGTTGGCTTTTTCCTAATATCTTGAGATGTGAAGTCAAGTTATCTATGTAGGCCCTTTCTTCTTTACTAAGGAATGCTGTAAATTTTCCTCTTAACGCGACTTTAGCTGCATCCCATAGGTTCTGGTAGCTCGTGTCTTCATTCTCATTTGTTTCCAGGTATATTTTGATTTCTTCCTTGATTTCCTTCATGACCCACTCATTGTTCAACAATAAAGGTAAAGGCCCTCCCATTGATCATCGATTTGCTCGAGCGGGCCCAGTAACGTCTCCATTGAAGACTTTGTTGTTACTGTGTCTGGCATATCGAATACTCTTGGTAGCTTGCCAGGATCTCCGAGAGGGGCGGAGGAATTGAACTAGGGTCGGTCATGTTGGCTGCGTGCAAGGCAAACGCCCTACCCACTGTGCTATCGCTCCAGCCCTGTTCATTTTAATTTCCAGGTGTTTTATTTGGTTCTCTGTGCCTGTATGATTCACTTCTATCTTCAGTGCATCATGGTCTGAAAAGATGGTTGATACTATTCTATCTTCCTGATTTTATTGAGGTATATTTTGTGACCTAGCACAATGTCGATTTTAGAAAAGTTTCCGTGTGCACTGGAGAAGAATGTGCATTCTTTCTTTTGGGGGTGTAAAACCCTGTAGAGGTCTATAAACCCTCTCTCTTCTATTTCTTCCTCAAAGCCAATATTTCCTTGCTGAGTTTTGTTCTTGTTGATCTATCCAGAGGTGATAAGGCGATGTTGAAGTCTCCTGCTAATCTTGTGTTGCTAGCAATGTCCTCCTTAAAATCTGTTAGCATTTGTTTTAAATATTTAGCTGTTCCCTTATTAGGTACATATACATTTAAGAGTGTGATTTCTTCCTGTTGTACACATCACTTGATGAGTAGAAAATGGCTTTTGCTGTCACTTCTAACCTTTTTCAACCTGACATTTATGTTATCAGATACTAGTATGACCATCCCAGCTTCAGGTGATATGATACTATGCTTAGAGAACCCTAAAACCTCTACCAAGAAACTCCTAGAAACAATAGACTTGTAAAGTTGCAGGCTATAAAATCAATACCCAAAAGTCCATAGCTTTCCTATACGCAAATAGTGAAAGAAGAAAGTGACATGAAAAAAACAATCCCGTTCACAACTGTGCCCCAGAAAATCAAGTACCTAGGAATTAGCTTAACTAAGTAAGTAAAGGGCCTGTACAAAGAAAACTACAAATCGCTACCTCAGGAAATGAAAGAGTACATGAGAAAATGGAAAGATATCCCCTGCTCATGGATCAGAAGAATTAACATTGTTAAAATGGCAATACTTCCCCAAATCATTGTACAAATTGAATGCAATACCTGTAATGATACCCATGACATTCTTCAAAGAAATGTAGCAAATACTCCTGAAATTCATATGGAACCATAAGCCCCCACGAATAGCTAAAGCAATCTTGGGAAAAAGAAAATGGGAGGAATCAACATCCCTAACCTCAAACTCTACTACAAAGCAGTAATAATTAAAACAGCATGGTACTGGAACAAAGGCAGAGCTGCAGACCAATAGAACAGGGTTGAATATACTGACATCTCCCCCCAAGTATATGATCATCTGATCTTTGACAAGGGAGCAAGAAATGTGAAGTGGAGCAAGGGAAGCCTCTTTAACAAATGGTGCTGGCAAAAATGGACAGCTACATGCAAAAAATGGGTTCAGACCTCTCCCTAATACTATGCACAAAAGTCAGATCAAAATGGATTAAAGACCTCAACATCAGACCGGAGTCCATAAGGTACATTGAAGACAAGGTTGGCAAAACCCTCCACGACATTGAAGTGAATAGTATATTCAAAGATGTCACACCACTGGCCAAGCAAGTGAGAACAGAGATAGACAAATGGGACTACCTTAAACTAAGAAACTTCTACACCTCAAAAGAAACAGTGATCAATATAAAAAGACAGTCTATAGAATGGGAAAGAATATTCGCCCAATACCCATACGACAAGCGGTTGATATCAAGGATATACGAAGTACTGGTTAAACTCCACAAGAAGAAAACATCCAACCCTATCAAAAATGGGGTGATGAAATGAACAGAAACTTTATCATAGAAGAAATCCGAATGGCTAAAAGGCACATGAGAAAATGCTCTACATCACTAATCATCAGGGAGATGCAAATCAAAACAACAATGAGATATCATCTCATGCCACAGAGACTGGCCCACATCCAAAAGAACAAAAGCAACTGGTGTTGGTGCAGATGTGGCGAGAAAGGGACTCTCCTTCAATGCTGGTGGGAATGCCGACTGGTTCAGCCCTTTTGGAAAACTATATGGACAATTCTCAGAAACCTAGAAATTGAGCTCCCATTTGTCTCCACAATACCACTCCTGAGAATATATCCCGGAGAGGCAAAAAAGTATAGTCGAAGTGACATCTGCACTTATTTGTTCTTTGCCGCACTCTTTACAATAGCCAGAATCTGGAAAAAAACTGTGTGCCTGAGAACAGATGACTGGCTAAAGAAACGTTGGTACATCTACACAATGGAGTACTATGTAGCTGTTAGAAAAGATGAAGTCATGAAATTTACATACAAGTGGTACTACATGGAAAGTATCATGCTAAGTGAAATGAGTCATAAAGAGAGGGACAGACATAGAAAGATTGCATTCATCTGGGGAATATAAAGTAAGAAAATAGGAGACTAACACCCAAGAATAGCCGAGATAAGTACCAGGAGCTTTACTCCATGGCTTGGAGGCCAGCCACACATGCTAGGGGAAAATGCAGCTCAGATAGAGAAGGGAGCACCAAATAAAGGCTGTTGGGAGGATCCTCCCAGGTTGGGAGATGCATGCTGAAAGTAAGCTATAGACCGAACATGATTGTCATTCAATGCCTTTTTTGCAAACCACAGCACCCAAAAGGAGAGAACAAAATGGAATGCCTTGCCACAGAGGTGGGGTGTGATGGGAATTGGGGGGTGGGAGGGATACTGGGATCATTGGTGGTGGAGAATGGGCACTGGTGAAGGGATGGGTACTCAATCATTGTATAACTGAAATCCAAGCACAAAAATTTGTAAGTCTACAACTGTACCTCATGGTGTTTCACTAATAAAAAATTTTTTTAAATCCATCGGCCTACTCTAATTCCAACAAAAGACCAGGTGTGCAAGAAGGTGTACAATCCCAATATAAAAGAGCACCTCCTCCTACACTACA